TTTTCTTTTTAGTTAATGTCAGTAAGTTATTATATTAGCTAGATGTATCTAGAAGTCCTATGGTCATCTAATGAGCACAAACAATGCACTAATTACCTATGCGATAACACAAATCAAATTCACGTACGCACTTGTACTTGGTACACAATCTCGAACTGCTAACGATTCCATTATATTTGTTTGTATGTAATTAAGTAAATACTAAATAATAATTAAAACTGACATGATCAGTGGTCACGGGTCTAAAGGGATGACCGCATTGTATTGCGATATTTCAGCACTGCGGAAATAAGGGCGTTTCTAACTGACCAGATAGATATAACTAACTAGGTAATTCAATATCAACATACATATATTCCATAGATGCACCACCATCTTAGTAATGTCAAATACTTTAATTTTCTTGTTACACTTACCTAAGTTCATTTGACTGAAGATATATTCCACTTGGAACTTCACTAGGTACGTACATTGTAAAAAACAAAGTCGCTATCCGCCGTCTGTCTGTCCCTATGTATGCTTAGATCTTTAAACGGATTCCAACGGATTTTGATGCGATTTTTTTAAACTGTCAAACACCAAGCGGTCGCCGGTGACCGCAACCTGATGATTCTCGAGGAAGGTTAATATGTATGATACATGCATATTGCAGTGCAAGTGCGAAGCCAGAGCGGGTCGCAAGTTTACGAAATATTATTAATATTTCTTGCTTCAAAGTTCATGTCCTACCTTTTTCAAGCATCAAGAATATGTTCCTAAGGCCGTAAAGTAGTCGGAACCAGAATTCTTATTAGGAGTATAAAAAGTCTACCGTAAAGTGAGATCTTCAAAGTGAATCTATAACAGTAACTGTATACAAGAAGATGTTGATGTCTGTCAGCTGTTGGGACCAATTAAACGATGTTATACGTTTGTTTAACGAGCTGCCGAGACGAGCAATGTTGATACAACATCGCAGGATACATGTCATAAACACACGCATCTACTTACTGATTATAACAACCTCATGTGTATTAGTGACATAAAAATATATGACTTTCCGTGGGTAACGTGCACTGAATAACACATAATATCGCTTATTTTGTATATAGGATCGCGGTAAGGACTAGATATTGCATCCTAGTTTTTCCAAAAGCTAGACACCGTATGAAGGTTTCCTCTAGAAATTAAATAATAATTCTTGTATAAACTACGTTTGAAAAAAACATTCTCCTGAGTGTAACCAACATTTTATTGAAACCCGCATCAAAATCGGTTCAGCCAATCATGAGATAATCTTTTATCGGTTTTACTGAGAAACTCTTTCTTTACTGAAGTCGTTTAAAAAGAAAAAGGAAAATCATCCAAATGACTCCTCCCACCCTGGGCGAGAAAGGAAGTAGTGCCAGACTCTTATTGCTTATTCTGTGCTCTTACTGACTAAAAACCACCCTGTTCCTACTTTTACTTCAAGCCAGAGACCCGATAACCTGCAAGGTTGTCAAATCGACTCATTTTGTAATACCATGTGTACCAATACTAGAGCTCTAAATATAAAAATCAATACTACTTAGCCTTACGAGTAGCGTTGTTATTGTGAGCAATAGTGGCCCGTTAGTGTGTAGCCAATGAAGGAGGCAATTGACGATAATGGCAGTAGGCAATAATTGAAAATATTCAATGAGCGGAGCCGGACTGGCCCTTTGGCCTTTGCTGTTGACTGTCCCTGTTTTTTACCAGGGACAGTTCTTATCTCAAGAACCATCGTATTTTCCTATTAGGAAGAAAATCATTTTAAGAAAGCGCTCTCAAAGAAACTATCCTGTCAGTTTCGGGGGGCCAAACGCCTCCTGCCGGAGGTTATACGCCGGGGTCGTGCGGTCCATGGCCCTCTACGGCGCCCCTGTTTGGGCGCCAAACCTGTTGCGGCGTCCCGCTCGGACGCTGCTCATGGCACAGAGGGTCATGGCGATCCGAATGATCCGCGGATACCGCACGATCTCTGGGGAGTCGGCGAACCTCCTTGCCGGATTACCGCCGTGGGATCTGGAGGCGAAGGTGCTCGCGCGCGTGTACAGCATGCGCGCGGAGGCACGTCGCCGGGGCGAAACCCCGCTGCCGCGCCAGATAGGTGCGTGGCGGGATGAGCTCCGGCGCGATCTCATGGCGGAATGGCAGCAACGACTGTCGCAACCGAGGGCTGGGCTCGCTGCCATCGCAGCGGTAAGTCCCCTCTTTGAGGAGTGGCTTGAGAGACGCTACGGCGTCCTCACCTACCGCCTGACGCAGGTCCTCACCGGACATGGAAGTTTCGGGAGGTACCTGTGTCTGATGGGGCGGGAGGAAACGCCCGGGTGTCATCACTGCGAGGACCGCCCTGAGGACACGGTGGAACACACGGTGGGAGAATGCCCTTCGTGGGCTGAGCACCGCCGTGTCCTCAGGGAAGTGATCGGCGATGGCGACCTCTCGCGTCCGGGCCTAGTGCAGGCCATGATGCGGAGCGAGGGGGATTGGGATGCCGTCTCCTCCTTTTGCGAAGCAGTCATGCTAGCTAAGGAGGAGGCGGGACGCGTGAGGCAGCGAAGCGCTGCCTCCTCGCAACCCAGCCATCGCGAAGGACACACCGGGCGTCGGGGATCGCGGGACGATCTCCGGCCACCGTAAGCGCGGGCCTGCGGACGGCGAGCATGGGTGGCTCCCCGTCCGACCAGAAACAGACCCGAGCGTACGGCGCGTCGCGTTCCGCGCGCGCCTCAAAGAGCCATCAGACCACCACAGATGGGGCCCAATAGGGCCGATGCCGATTCGGAGTCGCGGAGAACCTAACGGGTAACCGGGGCTCCGGCTCGACGTGCAGGAGAAGGAACGGGGTGGTTTTTAGTCAGTAAGAGTCTGACACTCCCTCCCGCCTCACCCAGGCGGGGGCAGTCATTCGATGATTTTCCCCCCTTAAAAAAAAAAAAAAAAAAAAATCCTGTCAGTTTCAAGCGTAGAAATATATTAGCTAGTTATCCAATAAACTTCACTAAAAAGCCCCAGGGTACCTGCTTGAAGTAACCTTGTTTAATAGATATCTTAGGGGACTTCTACATCAGTTTAATCAGATTAAACTGTCAAAAATAGTGTTCACATTCTATTGGGTATCTTAAGTAGGTAACCTATAAAATTTTGCTGTTCGCTTCAGTTTTGTGAGTGTGACAAAGATATGCAGTTATTGATAAAAGTAGGTATCTAATCTAATCGTAAATACACAACTTTCTTGCAATACGCAGCACCCAGCTATATCTGGTATTTCTAGTTCCTTTAGCAAAGCTTTAATTTTCTATAAGGTATAGTTCGATGGTATCTATTTGCTTGTGTTCCGTGCATGAGCAGCTAGTTTAATAGACTGCAACCAAATCTGTCGCTAGATAAAAACCGGATGTTTGTATTAAATTATCGTAGAACCCTCAGCTCCCACAGACCAATCAAAAAAATCCACGGGACTCTTTAGTTCTCTTTAGGTCAGATGACCATGTGGCATTACTAAAGTAGATAGGTAACTATGTACCTACTTAAGTATCTATTTACCTGTTATGTACTTAGGTACTTGATTACTTTTTCTTTTTAATATGTTGTTGTTTAAATTGGTCTGAGCATATCTTTTGATATTGCCAATTAGTGGGTGTTGCGTCTAATGCACAACCTATACATATCCACCTATCTATTCGTTCGCGAATAATAAGCGTGATCATAGTGTGTTTTGTCTTGTCTCTATTTTGCTATTAAATCAACATTTTTGTTTGTTAGCTGTAGCGATTTAGAATGAACCAAGTAAGACGATCCAGAAGAATTTACGTTTAATTGACGATTTAAATTATTTGCCCTAGATAATGGACACGCGTCGTCACGGCCCATATTGTAGCGCGCTAAGCTAACACATTCAAGATTCATGCGTGTAGATCATGATACACAGATGACAATCGAAATCGATTGCGAATTGACGTCTCTTGTGATAACAATTGACCTTCATGTAATCGCTACAACCGTACCCGTATAGTGGTTATTAATCATAGTGTTATCAACAATTTTTAAACTTAACTGATTACAAACGCATACTATTTTATTATTCAGGGTCAATCCGCCCCTTAGGATACCCAATCTTCAGACAGAACTGATATTTTGATACTTTTTAACCGACTTCAAAAAAAGGTAGAGGTTCTCAATTCGACCGTATATATGCTTTTTTTTGTTTGTTCGCCGATATCTCCGTTATTTAAGAACCGATTTTGAAAATTCTTTTTTGTTGGAAAGGAGATAGTCCCAGAATGGTCCCATGATAAGGAAATCAGGATCTGATTGAAGACTTCTAACCTATCAGGGGGTGTGTAAGCTTTAAGTACGTATGACCAATAATAGTTATCTTTTTCCTTTTTAGTTTTTACTTTTCGTTTGTCATTATCATTAGTTTATGAAGTCGGTTTTTTTAAACGCAGTGTTTTAATTTTTTATTTCGGATTACCTACCAATACTTCTTAGACCATATAACTTCAATGATAAGTCTAATCTTTAATAATTGTCCCAGTGTAAATGTACGCCAAATTACAATTTCTTTTGAAAGAAAAATCGTTACTGTTTTCTGGTAACACCTTATAGTGCATGTCAATGGGTAACACTAATTTTTGTATGACAATATGGACAATTTTTATTCAATTTGTTTTTCTGTCACACATAAATCGTTCACATTCAGTGTAGCCAACTCTTAAAAAAATGTAGATACCCATTTTTTTTTTTAGTAATTTGGTAGACCGATAAGAAGAAAATATGCTGAACACAAATAAATACGTATTCACTAATATACGTCCTAAAAATTCTTTATTTTCGGGTAAAAAAGTTGTAGTCAATATCTTAAATAGCAACATCGTGTAAAATTATTCATTTCTTCATTGGTCCCTATATGAACTGTGTAAGACGTCAAAATCAAAGTACGTCAACGTCAAGCACATTGGCATTTTATTTATTATGTTCGTTCGTTATCGTTCTTCGTTCACATTGAGATCATCAACATCAATTCATCATTCGTCTTTCAAGTTTCAACTTTCAAGTCTCTTGAATTTGAGACGTTGTAGTAATTCGTAGTTTATTTATTGAAAAATGTTTCTGAGACATAAAATTGAAGTTAATTGAAGAAAAATAACTAAATAATATCCATATAGAATCGAAATAAACCTACTAAACTCAGTAAAATTCAAGATGGAAATCGATGAAACTCAACATGTTGGCGATAACGGCGATATTTTCATTCACCGTTTAAAAGTACTAACTGACGAAGAAAAACAACGTTTGGAAGCACAGAACACTAGGATTATACCAGAAGCCAAAGCTGCACGTTTAGAAAAAGAAGCGAAACGTCATTGGGACATATTCTACAAGAGAAATGAAACCAAATTCTTCAAGGACCGGCATTGGACCACACGTGAGTTTCAAGAGCTTATTAACTTCGAGCCGGATGATAAGATCACGTTTCTAGAACTAGGATGTGGCGTGGGCAATATGATATTCCCGCTAGTCGAGGAAGGTTTCTCCAATTTCCATTTCTATGCATGTGACTTTTCACCACGTGCAGTGGAGTTTGTAAAGGCCAACAAATTGTTTGACGAGAGTCGCATGAAAGCTTTTTGCGCTGATCTTACCACTGATGATTTATTTGAGAATGTGGAAGAAGGCTGTGTGGATATAGCTAGTCTGATATTCGTATTGTCTGCAATCCACCCGGACTCGTGGTCGCAAGTAGCCAAAGTCGCGTACCGGGCGCTTCGTCCCGGGGGCGTATTGTTGTTTCGCGACTATGGCCGATATGATATGGCGCAGCTAAGATTCAAGCCAGGACACAAGATCGCTGATAATTTCTACATGAGGCAAGATGGGACCAGGTACTTATCACACTATCTAAGGACCACATGTTTTTATGTGTACTTGTTTTAACTATGTATTCATAACATATTCCTTGCTTACAGAAGTTACTACTTCACGGAGGAAGAGCTGCAGAAGGTTTTCGCTGATGCTGGGTTTGAGATCCTCATGAACACTTATGTACAACGCCGGACTGTCAACTTCAAAGAGGGAATTGATGTACCTCGCATTTTTGTCCAGGGAAAATATAAAAAGCCCGCTAAAGGTAAGATATTATAGAAACTACAAAAAGATTGACTAGCATCTAAGAGCAAGGAATAAATAAGACTATAATTATACCATATGCGCGTTAAAATTAATTCTACATGATGATAAGTGCTAACCATTGAAAAACCATGATCTTGCATGTATATTAGCTCTAGCTGAACACAATACAAAGTGAGCACATTTCCTCTAAATTGTTGGAGACTACTTTTTGAAGAGATTTTTTATTGTTCCAGGTTGAAACAGTGTCTGCAATCATGAAATTGCAATGGAAACATAAGTGGTAAGTTTTATTATCTATGTAAAATGGGTTTAGTCCACATTGATAAGCGAAGTACGACTGTACTATGGTTGGGATAAAGAATCTACTAAACTGCCATCTAAATTCACATTTTGCATGTGTTTTGTTCTCATTTAACATGGAATAATTAAGAAGGAAATTCATGTGAATGTGGGTCTACTATGGTGCAGTCATTTGCTTTGGACTATGTGACTGTTACCCTTCCTAACCTAAAACCACTGAAGTCGCACTCTTAACAAATGATGATAGCGCAGTGCAGCTGAAAACCTTCAGTTGCCTTGCAACGGGCTTTTCTAGCATAGGGAAACCTTTTTGGACTTAATTTAAAACTAAATTTTTTATTCATTAATTAAATAGCTGGTATTTGCAGCCAGCTAGCTTTTCGTTTTTCAAAATTGTAGCATAGGGCTGCCTGTTGTGAGGTCTGATGCAAAAGCTAATGCTTTATAAGCATACTGAGTCACCACTTTATAGTTATAAGTACAGATTTTTTAATCATCATATTAACCATATCTTTTCTATTGTCAACAGGTTTGATTAATGAGCTCTACAATGGTGTCAGAATCATGGTGAGTAAAACAATATTTTCAAAATTAAAACTGTTCTAGATTAAATTGTATTGTTTGACATGCTAGCTTTTGGCAAATACTGGTCTGAATTAAAACAATATCATAATAGTTACTTGGTAAACGTAATTTATAGATTGTTTTAAAAAGCTAGTTTCATTATGAATATCTAAATGATGACTTCATAGTTCATCTGAATGCTTTGATGTACACACATTTATGTCTTTCGCTCCTATCTGACTGAACCTAGTAGATTATAACTTACATTAAAATTACTACTTAACATTAATCAAGTGTTTTCATTTTACAGATTTTACTGATCATTCAAGAACAACAGAACTGCTGGATCCATGTGACTTATTATAAAAGATAGGTAAGAGAGCCCTTTTAATGTATCATTAGTTTACTTAACTGTTAAATAGATAGTCTCAATAACCTAGCTGTCTAAATTAATTGTCTACTAGAAATAGAATTTAGACACTTTTTATTCTATGTTTAGTAGGATTCCGCTATCTAAGAATCTATTCAGTCTCAAACACATGGGTTATTGAAACTGACTACTACATATTTATTTTAACCTGTTGATATCCAATCCCCTAAATTTGGTAATACAAAAGTAGTCTCTAAACATTAGAAATAAGGTCTATAATGTAATGTAATATCAGTGGAAAGCGGTCACCGGTGACCGCTTGGGGATTTATGGGTTAAACCCAAGTCTCGATTAAAAACTCTTTAAATGATGACTTCATAGTTCATCTGAATGCTTTGATGTACACACATTTATGTCTTTCGCTCCTATCTGACAAAATTTACTAAACAAAATTAAATAAAACTCGTAAACCATTTGTTTTAATAGCTTCATCTTTTGTTACAGGAGAAAAGAATAGTCATGGATTAGCAATGATTAGTAATAGTTACTGACAAGAAACTTCTGATAAGGTAAGAATTACAATATAATTGGAGTAATTTAAATTATTGGCACTCAAATGATGATTTTAGATAGGGACATCTGATTATAATGCTGTTACTATAACTATCCTCACTGATGTAAATACTAAAATATATTCAGTTTTTACCACATTTCTCTTTTGTTCACAAGGTATTTCTATTGTTACAGATAACAGATATCCTGTACACTAATGGATGGATACTTCCTAAATATATACAAATTGAATGTGAGTAATCTGTTCATATTATCATATGTTGGCATAACTTACTAACCAACTATAATGAATTTTCTAAATAATATACATAGGCAGTAGTGTCCCATACTCAAAAATTTAGGATATTAATCAAAACAGAATGGACAACTATTGAGAATTGCCACTTCCTGTGGCTCAAATACTGTATTTTTACAATGATGACCCGACCTTCAGGTCTCCCTCGTCAGAGTGAACCCAATCTATCATGTTGACCACCTAACACATCTGAGTTATACTACTACAAGCCTTAAATACAAATATTCACAAAACCTATGATAATATACTAAGAGACTTCTTTTCTATTGTTCTCAGGTATACAGCTTACTTGCAGTAGAAATGTTAACCTTATTGGCTGTAAATTTAGTAAGGTGAGTTCAAGATTAAAATATTATGTATTTTATTATATGTAAAACTGGTTTAAAATGGTTTCCTTGTTCTAGTTTGTCTTAAAAACCTACTAGTAACACAAAATATTTCTATTTTGTCTACTTTTATTTACAATGATGACCTGACCTTCAGGTCTCCCTCGTCAGAGTGAACCCAATCTATCATGTTGACTACCTAACACGTCTGAGTTATATACAGAAACTATTAACATGTCAATTTTATTATGACACACTATTAAATAATGTTTGTCTTCTTCCACAGAACTGAGAAGTTGAGAACAGAAAGAACATTGGAAATGAAAATCCATTTAAAGAAGGTAACTGGTTTTATTTATTTTTGCTTAAAAGTACTTTTTGGAACATATTAATACAGTATTTACCTTAGTAATTTTGGACTTAAATTACTAAGGTAATAGCTAAATATTTAACTTCTCTGTTACACTTGAATGATGATTTCAGATAGGGACATCTGATACATAATGCTGTTACCATAACTATCCTCACTGACTATATTCTATCTTTAAAATATTTCTTTCATCTAAGTTAGCTAATGTTCTTAATAAATCATTTATTTCTTTAGGAGCTGGATCAGTGATGTCATACAAGCAACGAGAAAACAAGCCTTGGATAAGAAGTAAGTTTAATATTTGTTACATAAACATCTGCAATAAGACATTGTTACATACATAGTTATTAAAAAGTTGAAAGCATAATTACAATGATGACCCGACCTTCAGGTCTCCCTCGTCAGAGTGAACCCAATCTATCATGTTGACCACCTAACACGTCTGAGTTTATTATCTCAAACGAATAAACTTAAACTTGATATACATGTATACTAACAAGACTACTTTTATTGTTCCCAGGAATATCAATGGATAGCATCATCTGATATTAGGAAAACTAAGAAAAAAAACTTAAGGTGAGTTTAAAATCAATATGAATTTGATTTGTATGTTTTTGCTTTAATCAGCTTATAAAATACAATAGAATTTGTAGGGTATGGTCTGTTTAACACGAATCTACCTCTTTTTGCCAAACTGGTTTAGTTTCCTTACAATTTACAAAGATAGAAAATCTATTATAATTAAGATCGCACCAATTTTAGCAGATCTTTTAATTACGATGATGACCCGACCTTCAGGTCTCCCTCGTCAGAGTGAACCCAATCTATCATGTTGACTACCTAACACGTCTGAGTTACTACATAAAAAACATTGTTTTACTTGTAAATAAAATGTTTTAATAGATTTTTTCTTTATTGTTTTAGCTGGTGAAATCACAAGTTCCAGTGGCAAGTGGCACATTGAAGACACTGTTAAAAAGGTGGGTTAGTAATTTGTACTCATCATGGCAATAAGTCAATCATCATTCATTTTTATTGTTTCCAATTGAGAGTAATCTATTAAATTGATTTTGATTGCATTTTAAACTAATAGAATAGAATTACATGTGCTTACAAAGCACATAGTCATGATTAGGCATTAAATCAAGATATCTTCAACATTATTTATACCTTTTCGAGTGTATCAAAAGTACTGATGTTTTCCTGTCTCATCCTATGGGAATGCAGTGCCTTGAAGTCGCATTCCGTAAATTGGGACAGAGATGGTTGTGGTCAAAACTGCCGGGGACGACACAACGATGCCGCCTCGGTTATATAGATGCACTACATTCATTCTTATAAATATCTTGCATTATTTATGCCCGAATACTGAAAGGCTATACTCCATTTTAAGTTATAATTAAATATCGTGTCATTTTACAAAGGATTTGTAGTGACAGAACTTTACCCGCGACTTAAAATTGAGTGGAGTTTAAGTATTTCAGTGGAAAATCTTTATTTTGAGAGGATTTACTAAAATTTCGTTTGTTTTTTGTTCTAGGTATTTGTAATTTGGCATCATCAGCAATTATGAGGTTAAGCAAGGCAGGAGATCCACGAAGACCTAACTTTGTATTGAGCTAGGCATGTGTTAAACAAGATAATAAGATAAATAAATGTTATTATTATAAAAAAAAAAAACTTTTATTTTATAAAACTATGTACCCAATTCCTACATTTGAATTTAGGGCTCGTACACAAAACTGCGATGCGACGTCGCATCGCAAAAATGTGCGAGCTCCCTCTACGTATCGCAAAAACTTGCGAATTGATTCGCATGTTATATCTACCCAAAATCTTCGTTTGTTTTTCCTGTATCTCCACACTTCTTTTTATTACGATCCATGGGGCCAATTCTCGATTTTCGCCATTTATCTCGAGTTCGACATTGTAAGTCTATCTCTATGTCTATCAAAAATATCTCTATCTCTACCAAAAAATGTCGAATTGCACAGAAATCCGTATTCTCAGTCAAAATAGAAACAAATGTCACGAAAATGTCGAGTCGAGTGAAGATAATGTTACCATTATGCAGAATCGCACGTTCCATTTTAGGTAGTTATGAGTGAATGAATGATTTTGTCATAAAACGTTCACTAAACCTAATTATTTAAGTTAAAACGGAACGTTTAGTGCAAAAATAATCAGTTTGATAGTTGACTGTCTGTCAGTGTCATAATTTGCATTTTTTTTTCGGTTGTTTCAAAACTTTTGTGTTTACAATATTTACATAACTCACTAGTGGGTTGTGCTGTTTTATATGTGATAATTTTGTATTTTAACATGGAGGGGAAAAAATACCCCAGTCCACAACAAAAACAATTACTCGTTCAACTCATTGAAGCAGACATGGAATTGAGGGGAGGTAAATTCTCCTACAGTTTCTCAAAGAAGAAGATGCCATCGTTAAACAGTTAAAATATGCTGTGGCCGGTGCCAAAAAATCTTGGGTTGGTTGGCGCGAAGTAAGTACAATGGTTACCGACTCACTTATCTTCCTTTCTAGATGACTCAACCGTTTTAATACTTATTTTTCATAACTTACAATCACCGCAATGTTTTCCAATTCTCTACTTGTCAGTAATTTATTTATTTTTGTATATGATTTCATTGTCCACGTATATAATATGTTGGTACTAACATAATAAATTTATTTCAGAGTCGGCAAGACAAAAGCAAAAATAAAACAAAAATTAGCTACAATTAGAAGACAATCTATGTTGACTGGTAGAGGTCCACCACCAGAACAATGAAATGAAAAGGAACAATTGGTGCTTGCCAAATTTTGTACAGCTGCACTTGTTGGCCACATAGATGCCCTTGGTAAAACTTATGTTTTTCTGAATTTTCTAGTTCCCATACTGCTATTATTATATAATTATATTGCAATTAGAGTGACTTTTTGTTTCTTTTTTTCAGATTTAGCCACACCGAGTACTGCAAAAGTCGGCATGTATATGGCTGCTCAAGAGACCTCTGGATCTCGAGGCAATTCTACTTTCAGTACTATTTGATGATTTTAATTGCATAGACGAGTTAATGATCAAGAAACTGTTTACAATCGATTTAATTGTAAAAATCCTGATCTTGGTTTACATTTAAAGTTATTTTTTAAAGAATATAATAATAATTATTATTATTATGAGAAAGATTAAGCTGTGATTTTATAATTAGTCTGCTAAAACTCTACCTCTAAGTTATGTGATTATGTAGAGGTACATACATGCACCCAAATGATTGTTAAATATTTACATTTATGCCGTAATGATTGTTTTTTATTTAGATTATTATTGTTTAAACGACTGTACTGCTGTGATTTTATAATTAGTCTGTTAAAAGTCTGCATTATGTACTTACATATACACAAATGATTTAAAAATCATTGTTCATTATTTACATTATTCTGCCATCATTATTGTTATATAGATGTAAAGTTTATTTGTTAATTTTCTGAGATTAATATTGTTTAAATGACTGTACTGTGATTGTGTAATTAGTCTAACTTTATAATGAAAAAGTGTGTCACTGAGGTTATGAAATTTGACAGACTTTGATACTTTAACGAGTAGCTGTTTTAACATTCTTTTACAAAGTGTAATAACTACTAGTGTAATAATAACTATAAACTTATTGAATGTTTACCATATCTTTTTTTAAATTAGTAATGTATTTACTTATAAAATTAAGGTACCTAATAAATAAAACAATTTTATAAACATTTTGTGGTAATTATTAATTATATTTTGTTGTATATTTCTGCCTATATTGAAATAAATATTGCCTCCTGTTGTGGTTGGAAGGTCTATTATAATTATGCCTAACTCTCTCTCTTCAGGCATATCAGAGAATTCAAAGTTGTGGGCTATACACAAATTGTGTAATACACAGCAGTCGTTAATTATTTTAGTAGCCTTATTAGGTGTGTAATGTAACACCCTATCCTTTTTTTAAAGTATTAAAAGACACCTAAATCGGCCCTTTAGCACTCCATTACAACGCTCGATAGTGGATCGCGTTTTCTTAAACTGTCAAACACCAAGCGGACACCGGTGACCGCAGCCTATTGTTCTTTAATTGTGTCTATAATAACGGTGCTCGACGAGTTAAGTGCTTCATTGTATAGAATGCACAAATCGAAAAGTCTATACCGAATTTCCAGTAGGTATGAGATGCAAAGCCGTATTTTATTTCAAAACGAAAGAAAAAAGACACTACAATCCCAAAATCAAACGAATTCACTCAGAAATGGCGTATCTCTACAATCGACATGCCATCTCTACTGCTCAGAAGCACTCGACATGAACTCTAACGTTAGCCTTCGACAAATGTCGCATTCGACATCTCGAGAATAGCAACTTTTTAAATTTGACGAAAAAATGACGTCATTAGACATTTTTGTCGAGTTCGACATCATCTCTAAAGCCGAGAATTGGCCCCCATGTCACGCCCTAGCTTCCAATTTTAAATACGTTTAGTACGGTTGAAGGTCGTCGAAGGAATGGGTCACCCCGGGGAGACACCTTGTCGCACGAATTCGCTTCGTAATTTTTTGCGTTGTGAATTCGCATCGCAGTTTTGTGTAGGAGCCCTTAATACCACACCAAGTATGAAAAGAGTATCCATCAGTATATATTATTCCGACAATCATTTATAATCGAGGGATAGCAAGGATCAAAGTGACATATTTACTGCCCAGGGTTCGATTCCGGCGGCTAAATTACTCATCGGTTTTACTACTGCAAAAGGCTCATATGCATAGCGTTTAGGCGCTTTTGCCATACCTATTATTGGAAGCAAGTATCAGCAGCTCACACATAGAACCCACTTAGTTTTTAGTCAAATTTCCGTGTTGCTTGGCGACTGGGCTTCACCCAGTTGTAGTCTCTTGATCTCTTCTTTGTGCCTTTAGGCTTAATTCATTGTCTTCTGCAGTAATTCACTGAGGGAATTGTGGAAACTATAGTTTTTTTTTCTTCTCTTATAATATCTTCTGATTCACTTCGTTGCGGGAACCAAGACAGTTACCTACTCATGTCCCTGGGACGCGCCGGACTTTAATGTTCCGGTGTTTTCATGGTTGTATCTACTGTAGATCCTGCTATGAGTTGCAGCGGTTTTAGGAGATTGTGGCGGGCTTGTCCCTGCTCCTTTGTGGTGTAGGTGAACTTTAGCATGGGCATATTTTTATAATGTGAAGACGTCAAGAGATTACAATAGTTAGGTTTCTCCTCTACTCTCTTATCATAGGTACTCTTTGAGTTAGGTATGGTTTAGACCTGTAGTCCAATCCTGTTTTAACTCGTTGAGTACCGTCATTATAGACACAATTAAAGAACAATAGGTTGCGGTCACCGGTGTCCTCGCGGTGTTTGACAGTTAATATTCGGAGATCAATTTGTACCCTATAATTAGGCACTTTTGAAACGTCAAGAATTTTATTATGTCCGTCCGCCTGTGTGAAGTGAGGTTTTAAACTAGGTTCACTCCAGTCAAGGTCATTCCTACCCTGTCTATCGGTCCCC